AATCCACGGACGGCCTCCGAGAGTAGACACTTCGGGCTTTAAAATGAGCTGAGTTCCATGGTCGCATAATTTTTTTGCACGAAGTTATAACTGTTTGAATATCAACAATTTTTTCGGAAATTTGAAACTCCAACAAAACTAGAATCCATCCAGCGTGTCGCGAATAAATTTTGTTAAAGAAACCGACGTACGGTCGCCGAAAGTAGGCACTTCGAGCTTTAAAACGAGCCAAGTTCCATTGTTGTATGATTCTTTTGCACAAAGTTATAGCTATTTGAATATCAACAATATTTTCGAAAATTTGAAACTTCGACGAAAGTAGTAGACGGCTCGTTTTTATAATTATAGATTGTCGACGACTATAAAAACGAGATACAAGGCTCGAATAATCGTGTCTTTTCTTCTCAAATTGTTTATTTTTGTAGGAATATAATTTTTGCAGGAAATCAATTATCCAGAATTTACCCCGAATTGAGATATAATTTACTGTTAGCGTTATTATAGGTCGTTGCAAAATTGTGTGAGATTTGTCTTGGAATACACGGTCATGAAAATTTTGTGCTATCCGCGAAACAATAAATTTTTCCAAAGAAAGCGATCCTTTAGAGGGATTTCTCGTACGGGAAAATATGATTCGCCGCCGTGATCACGTCGATGGATCGAGTTGTCGAAGAATTGTTGCTGAGAAAGTGAGAAGCCTAACGAAAAATCGACAATCGAAGAAAAGAACAAAACAGATCGACGAACATTATGATCGGCCAGCAGGAGAAGGGTATAACGCGCATCTCCTGGTTGCGAAACCGAAAGTCTTCTCCACTTCCTGCGAGGAAGTCTCGTCCTCCAACAGAGAAAGGGAACCTCGAAAACCAATTTGACCTAAATCATTTTTTTTCGTGGCTACGCTACACACGACTTTCCATTCTTTTTTTCTTTCTTTTTCTTTTGATGCCGCTGTACACCTACGCACGCCATCGCGGCGGGACCTTCGAATCGATGATCAACAGCTGATTGCGTAGATCATTTCTATTATCTAATGTGCTTGTTATCTTGCGAAAATCTAAGGCGCCGATAAATATCATAAATTACAATTATATATATTTATAATATATTTACAATATTTCTTATATAATATTTATATTTATAATATTTTTTATATAATATTTATATTTATAATATTTCTTATATAATATTTATATTTATAATATTTCTTATAGAATATTTATATTTATAATATTTCTTATATAATATTTATATTTATAATATTTCTTATATAATATTTATATTTATAATATTTCTTATATAATATATATATTTATAATATTTCTTATATAATATTTATATTTATAATATTTCTTATATAATATTTATATTTATAATATTTCTTATATAATATTTATATTTATAATATTTCTTATATAATATTTATATTTATAATATTTCTTATATAATATTTATATTTATAATATTTCTTATATAATATTTATATTTATAATATTTCTTATATAATATTTATATTTATAATATTTCTTATATAATATTTATATTTATAATATTTCTTATATAATATTTATATTTATAATATTTCTTATATAATATTTATATTTATAATATTTCTTATATAATATTTATATTTATAATATTTCTTATATAATATTTATATTTATAATATTTCTTATATAATATTTATATTTATAATATTTCTTATATAATATTTATATTTATAATATTTCTTATATAATATTTATATTTTTATAATATTTCTTATAGAATATTTATATTTATAATATTTCTTATATAATATTTATATTTATAATATTTATTATATATAATATTATATTATATTATAATTATATATATTTATAATTTATATTCTTTTCATATTCTACAAACAAATACCCTGTTAATATTATAAGAAATAAACCGTCATTTTTCGTCTCCGTAATGTTTATGATTTTCTGACAATATATTTGACGATAAATAGATCTGGTTGTTAATATTATTGTAAATTGATGGGCATTTTATGTATTTGTAATGTTTATGAATTTTTGAGGATCAATTGTGTTAGAAAATTTGTAGACAATTGGATCTGATCGTTAATATTCTAATAAATTGGCAGCCATTTTGCGGCTCTGTGGCGTTTACGAATTTGTTAGCTTATTTAGAGTCTGTTATACACCAATGTTAATTGATAAATTAATAAAACGTAAATGAAACGCATGTTTGTTGAGTTATAACGTTTATAGGTTAATTAACACTATTTTTATATCAATTTTCATCGAAAAGAGTGCACATGTACAGATGTAAACAATTAAAAAAACTGTGCAAAATATTTCGAATAACATTTTCTACATTGCATAATTGAAAAAGTCATCGAAAATCGATAATAACACGTTGAAACAGTAACAACTTGAAGAATTAGATTATCTTTCTAAATTTACATTAAAATAGTGCGTAAATTTCTCCGGAAAAAAACGCAATTTCCTAAACGGAAAAATCCTCTGAGACAAAGCAGCGTCACTTTCCACCGCCATTTTGGTAATTACAGATTTATCTTCGCTCATAATACTGTCTAGGCTGTTCACAACCAGTCACAACGAGTTATTCTAATAGATTTTGGATTTCGTTTTCTAAGACTTTCTCTTTCTCTGAGCTATTTTTCTGTACATTCGGTTTTGCATGTGTTTCCACACGTTTCAAATATTTACTTCCATTTTGATTGTTGTGCTTGGAAACGTGATCTGGGAACAACAATTTTCTCCGACGAGGAACAATTTACTTGTTATTTTCAACACTTTCCTTCTGCATCGCTGATGCAATGCATAATTGAAATATTTATTATTGCACTGCATATTCTATACGTTTATAACGTATGATTACGAATGATTACAGATGAGATATAATAACGTATGATTATTATAACGAACGCCTTTATTATAGAGCAAATAAAAGACATAATAGCAAAAATGTCTATTACGCTTAAGGATACCGTTAAATTGTCTGCAATCTTTTAAATTTTTTGTTCGAGATATACAATCTACCTGCTGTAATTTTTATAAGAATTTTGCAAGATTATTAGCTACTAAGTTATGCAACTCCAACAATTTGTGTTATATTATTCGCAGCAACGTACTAAAATTGTCCTGAGGAGAAATTTTGCATGTACGGATTTGCAGGTAATTTCTTTTTGCAGTCAATAAAGAAAATTTGTATTTTGCACACAGATCTATATTCTGTCTACAATAATTTTTATCAAAATTCTAGAATATATCTAACTAAAATTCATTTTAAAGTTCACTTTAGACGATCACACTTCTTCCTCAACCAATCAGGTCATCGATTTTCCATAAGATTTTGTTTACAATTTTCAAAATCGAAATTCTATAATCGTCTGCTCTTTAAAAAAAATATTAAAATTTAATGAGCAACCAAATTTTCTATCACAACCCCTGGAAAGTTTTCTACCACAATTTCCAACCAAAACGTTTACAAATCGAAATTCCGTAATCGTCTGTTTTTCTTAAAAATGTTAAAATGGAGCGACGGGTATCCTCGAAATATAAACAATTATAGTAAAAAATCTTGCAGAAAACAATTCGCGACGAAAATGTTTGAAACTCGAAATTCTGCGATCGTGTGCTTTTTAAGAGAATACTGCAATTAGGCAACAAACATCGTCGCAACTTGGAACAGTAAATTATTCCTAATTCGCGATCGGATTGCTTCGGCTCGTTTTAATTAATAGATCGTATAATAATCGGTAATCGAAGGTGGATTTACTGTAGTTTATTAAATTTACGTATATAAATGAATTAAAATAAAAATAAATTGAAATTAATTAAGATTAAAATAAATTGAAATTAATTAAAATTAAAATAAATTGAAATTAATTACAATTAAAATGAATTGAAATTGATTAAAATTAAAATAAATTGAAATTGATTAAAATTAAAATAAGTTGAAATTAATTAAAATAAAAATAAAAATTAAGTAATTAAAATTAGGTTGTGTACCTAATCACGTCTGTTAAATTTACGATCTTCGCACAAAATAAAAATTGTCCACGCCGCGTGCAAGGCGTAGTAGCCAACCGCAAGCTTCCAAGTTTTCTTTTTCCTCCAACAATTTCAACGCGTTCGAAACAATGCATCGCCATTCTTAGCGTCCATCAATCTTTCCTTAAATAACACCCACACATTTTCGCCGCACGAACGCATAAAATCCTCGATCCAATAACATCTTCAAAAAGTCTCATCAGATAAATTCCCCGGCACATTCCTCGGTTCCGTTTCAAAATCGAATTTCAATCAATAAAATACCAGCGTCATCGAGGCTTGCGCAACGAACGGGTGTCAATTACCGACGATTCTCCAAAAAAAAAAAAAGAAAAAAAAAGAAAAGGAAGGAGAAAAAAGCCACTCGCTGCTACCGTCCGTCACGTTCAGCGATGCTGGGGGCATCATCCTCGCATTTTCTCCGGTGCGTGCGGCGCAAGGTCCCATGTCGGTCATTACGCAAACGCGTAAATTCGTGGACTCCGTTCCGCGAACGCGCGGGCATTAGAGGCCGTTTAGAAAGTTGCGCGTTTGCCAAAAACGCGCGTGCCGCGCGGCCTCCGCTTCCGGTCTCCCTGGCCGGCGACATCCCCCCGGCGGTGGTCCAACCCGTCAAGGACGTTGTTGGCAGAGGGCGGCCGTGTTTCCACACGGGCTGTTTTTCTCTTCCGCGGATTTTCCCGGCGTGGAGGACCGCTGCGGCGGTCGGGGAAGACGCGGAGAAGGAAGAAAGAAAGAGAGAAAGAAAGAAAGCACGTTGTGCCGGGGCCAGGAACGGCTCTCGTCGAGGAATCGGTGACAGCGGGCCCGGGAGAAAGAGGGAAAGAGAGAAAGAGATTCGCGACGGAGTCTCATCAGCATAGGTGATGGGTCGAGATGCGAGTGGGGCCAGGGCTGGTATAAAAGGGGCACCGTGGCATCCACGGAGCATCAGTCCTCACAATCCAAGGAACAGCAGCAACCATGAGGGCATTCATGGTGAGTCGTACACACCTACGTTCTCCAACCGCTCTGTGCTCTCCCGCCCCTCTCCCCACCCGTCTGTCACCTGTCTGTCTCGGTGATCGGGTCGCTTCCGCTTCAACCCTGTGACCTCTCCTCCGTTCGAGTTCCCTCCAGCCGGTTTCTTCTCTTCCTTCTTTCTCCTCGACCTGGCTGTCACGTCGTGCGCCACAGTGGGGGATATCGGTTCGGAAACTGGGGAGGAAGCAGATCAGACAGGATTTTCTATCATTTTCTCTTCACTTTCTATGTTTCGCCGGGATTCGAGGATGCTAGGCGCTCTTAGACCTTAGCAGCATTTATTTATTCGTTCACTCGTTTACTCGTTTATCTGTTTGTTTATTTCTTTGTTTGTTCATCAGTTTATTTGATTGATTTATTCACTTAATCCTTGGCTTTCGGCTTTGGATGACTTCCGACTTATTATATTATTATTATTATTATTAGTTTTGACACCTTCGTTTCATAGCTAAAATCTATGTACTGAATTACTTATTTACTTCAAAGATATAATAAGAAGAACAAAATATGATTATCAATGGGAATTATCAAGGTCTGATTGTACTTAACCCTCTCGTGCAAATTTTTAGTAATAACTTATTAAGTAGAGATGTTATTTTGTCCTTTAAAATTGGAATACAATTTTAATTTCTTTTGTCATCGATATTTAAGCATTGCAGTAAGTTTAAGCACGCAATAAGCATCAATTTTCTTTCCCTTTTGAGAAATTATTGCAATCGAAAAATTTCTAATCGCAGTAACTGCGAGAAGAAAATGGTATGTCGAGGGGTGAAACTTTACCCTTTGGTTTTTAGAGCCTAGCGTAAAAAGTACGCCAGAGAATAGAAGCATAATTTTGAGTTATTTCCATTTTATTCTTCGTGTTCTTAAGGATTTATTAGACTTCACTGTTGCGCGCATTCAAAAGAGAGGCAATTCTGCAGATATGGGGAGGGAGAAGCATAGAGAACACACTAGAACAAACTATAGCGTTCTAGAGAGAACGTATAAATATACTATTCTATTATTTTCCTTCCATTGTTCCTTTTCTCGAAGGTTTTGTTGGTTTTGATGGGAACTGTGAACCTACCCTACTAGTTTAAACAGTTGGGGGCGTGAGGGTGATTCCAAAAATATCGAAGATGTATGCTAGAGAGCACAAAATCATACACTTGTATTAATTTCCTTTCTTTTATTTCGTTTCTTAAGAATTTGATTGGCTTTTATCGTTGGGTACGCCAAGGGGTAATTCGTAAAATATCGAGGAAAAATTCTATTTTTTATTATTCCTTTGTTGTTACTTCTCTCATTGATTTTGTAATTTTAGAGGGATCTAGGGATTTAGTCTGATGGATTGCATCGTTGATTTGATTACTATTTCCGTTTTGCTACTCAATCTTCATTCGTTTCGTTGCTCTTAAAAGTTACCAAGATTTTTCTTTCCAGAGGATTTTACTGTCGGATACACACAATGAATTGACATCGATTTAAAGTCAATATATAGAGAAAATAATTTATATATTTTTTATAATTTATAATATATTTTTATGATATATTTTTATAATTTTTTATAATTTGTATATTTTTCTCTGTACATAGAGAAAATAATTATATTATTATTTCCTTCTGGTTACTCAACTTTTAAGTAGTTCTTTATTTTTATTATATCGTCGTATTTTTTATTATTCCTTCTTTTGAGAAGTCCTATCGACTCCCAGGGATTCAGATCAGCGAATTTTATTCGACCTGTTTCGCATTGTTTATTTAAAAACTGCTTTATTTAAACTACAGACAATTTTCTCCGGGAAACAATTAAGCGAATTTCCGAATCAAGCAAACATTCGAATAAAAAAGATAGTCAAGATCAATTCTCGTCGTTATTATAAAAGTGCGCTTGGTAGAGATTTAACGTCGATTCTCGCAAAAATGAGGAAGGAGCGGAAACCAAAAATGTATTTTCCAAAATGTACTTTCCGAAACGGCGCGGCGTCGTAACGGGGGCAGCGCTCGGTCGGGAATCTGGACGATTCGTTTCGAACGGTTTGAAAGAGCGAAAAGGAACGAGAACTCGGCGAAGAGATCGCGCGATAATCGTGTCTCCGTGTGAAAGTGCACCGTGAGACCCGGAGGAAACGAAAGAGAAAAAAGGAACACGGCGGGAGGCAGAGACGCGCGAACGACGAGAACTTCTCGCAGGGAATAGAAAGGGAGACGATGCGGGAGAAAGTGGTGAGAGAGGGGGAGGAGGCGCGGACCGATGACGACCCAGAAGACGACACAGATGCAATTTCTGCGCTCGATCGTCGCATCGTCATCGACGATTACGAAAGACCGATCGAAAACCCGGAAAACTTTCCCGCTGCCACGATCTCGTCGCTTTCCTCTGATCGGACGCTCTCTGTTCGTTTTTCATTCCTTCGCGGTCAGATTCGATTCGCCGTCTCGTGCCAGCCGATCTTGCCTCTCATTGGTCAACGTTTTTCGTTAATAACTCGTAAACGAAGCCGCGGATTGCATTTTCGCTGAGTAAAAAGTTACTCCAAATCAGCTCAGGAATCACCCCTTTCCCGGGGTTTACATAATTATTGGACGTGACATATGAAATCTGATATATGGGACACCCTGTATATGCGAAATTGAATTTTTAGATATAAGCAAGATCGATAATGTGAAAATTATTTTGTAACGTGGCACAACGATTTTTAATGGGGCCTTAGAGCCGTCACTCGAGTGCAACCGGTTAATACTAAATTTCATCGACTTAAACGAAGTCACACTATTTTTCTATAACGCTATAAAACCACTTAATTCTCCCCTTTTTATATCTACGCCATATCACTGTCTCTTTGATTTTCGTCCCGGTCTTCGAACCTGCCAGTTTTCCATCCAAAAAATCGCATATTAACGAAGCAGCCATTGAATCGAAACAAAAGGCAATCGGAAGAAGAATTCTTCATCTACGAGCCGACCCATCATTTTCCGCGACAATCTTTTTTCCCGTAACATTTCCCTCGATCGGAATCTCGGAGTGCCCGTCGCTCGAACCTCGTCGACCGGAGCTCGCCTAAATCGGCGCCGCATGAAACTGCCTCGAGCAAGCGGAACCGCCTTTATCAGACCCAAAAGAGGATGCCCGGAGCTACAAATAGAGCCCTCGAACGGCCCTTTATCTCATCTCGTTCCGTAGATACAGCTTGCCACCCCCGATCCTAAAACTGATCCCCTTCGCACCGGCCTCTTTGGCGCGGCTTAAAATCCTAAAATCCCCGGGTTGAATCTCAAGATGGGGGGCTGGAGAGTCTACAGGTGTCTAGAACGGTCCTGTTTGTTTGCTTGAAGATCGTGGTGCTCGCCGCATCGGCGATGGCGCGACCGGAAGCCGGCTACTCGTACTCCCAGCCCAGCTCTAGCTACGGCGCACCTAGCGGGGGTGGATCCACCGGAATCGGCGGTGGATTGGGCGGAGGTTTCGGCGGCGGATTTGGCGGTGGCCTCGGAGGAGGCGGCGGACTTGGAGGAGGCGGCGGAGGCGGCGGCGGATTCGGCGGCGGATTCGGCGGCGGTCTTGGCGGTGGTCTCGGCGGCGGTCTTGGCGGCGGTCTCGGCGGCGGCGGCGGCGGCGGTGGCGGATTCGGTGGCGGATTCGGCGGCGGCGGCGGCGGTGGCGGCGGATTCGGAGGCGGCTCTCTGATCCAGAAGCACATCTACGTCCACGTGCCGCCACCAGAGGCCCCCGAGGACAGGCCCAGCAGACCGATCGCTCCTCCGGCGCCGGCCCAGAAGCACTACAAGATCATCTTCATCAAGGCGCCGACGCCGCCAACGCCGACCGCACCGATCATCCCGGCGCTGCCGCAACAGGATGAACAGAAGACCTTGATCTACGTGTTGGTCAAGAAACCAGAAGAGGCGCCCGAGATCAACCTGCCGACCATCGCGCCCACGCAGCCCAGCAAGCCCGAGGTCTACTTCATCAAATACAAGACACAGGTACGTGATTGTTCTCTTGTCGTTTCGGGGGCGAGAGACCTCGGAGTCTTCGGAGCGTTTTTGAGGATCTCAGAGCGTTTCGAGTCTTCAGGGATTTTAGGGGATGATTCATGTATTAGATTGTGCGGTAAGTCCGTTCGCGATTGTTCCGATGAATTTTGAGAAACGTTTTCACGGGGCTATTTCTATGCGACTTAGCTTAAATCAAAGCTGAAAGTGTCTGCTTTAAGACAGGGTCGATTAGACTGAAATTGTATAATACGTAAGTCCGTTCGCGTCGATGCAACTTATTACACAACCGAATAAAATCAGTAAAATTGAAGAACAAGAGAGTAGGTGGATGATTTGTCTTCCGGGAGATTCGAGACTGAATTCTTTTAGTAAATGCGATGGATTCCGGGTTGAAGACACACTGTAAGTGCTAAGACTGTTCATACAAGGATTAGATAATGTTAAAACTAATTCGAATCAATCCGATTTGGACGACACTTTATGTGGTCAGTGTTTATTGCAGATCCTGGAAATTTTAATTTCATTTTCAATTTTTAAACTTTCTGGAGTAACAAAGTTCTAAATTGGCATGGTTGAAGGCATCGCTGAATAAAATTTAAAATCCATAATTAAGTCCATAAATTCGATTTTTAATTAAATTGTGAGTATAGTTCTGCAAAGTTTAAAACTTAATTCGACTGCGGACTTTTATACAGAATAAAAATTGTCTTCGTCAGTTTCTAGACATAGAAATCGTTCTTTCTTTAATCATTTCAATAGACTGAAAATAATACATTGACATTTTAACATTCTTTTATTGTTTTTACCATTTTCAATCGCATTTACTCAATCAGTCTAGTAGAAACAAAAGTTCGTTAAATATTAACTTCAACTACCACCAGTTTCAACAAACAGAAAAACCAAACCGGATTAATAACAACTGAAATTAGTTTCAATATAATAGAGATGACTAAAAATATTAACTTCATCTGCCATTATTCTCAACAAATAGAAAACACCAAGAACATTAACGCCAACTGCCGTTAGTTCCAACAAATAAATTGCTCAAAGCAGATTGTCTTCAACAAACAGAAAGCCCCAATCACATTAACTTCAACCGTCCCTAATTTACAAAAAGAAAAAACAGAAAACCCTAAGTAGATTTATTACAACTGACTCTAATTCCAACGATCAGAAAAAAAAAACGGTCTTCGTCGCATAACGATCTCCCATTGTAGACGAGTCTGCAACCCTAACCCAGACCTAACCGAATCCCAATTTTCCAAATTGCAGAAGGAGGTCACCGGCGGAGGCGGCGGCGGCGGTGGCGGCGGAATCGGCGGCGGAATCGGCGGAGGAATCGGCGGAGGAATCGGCGGAGGAATCGGCGGAGGAATTGGCGGAGGAATTGGCGGAGGTATCGGAGGAGGAATCGGTGGAGGAATCGGCGGCGGTTTGGACGGCCACGGAGGCGGCGGCGGCGGAATCGGCGGTGGAATCGGCGGCGGAATCGGTGGCGGCAGCGGCCCAAGCGGGCCCAGCTCGAGCTACGGGGCGCCCGGCGGCGGCGGCTCGGGGCCCTACTAGTCAGCCAATCTGTCCCCGCAGATCATCCTCCTCCACCCGCAATCGGCCTAACTCCCACGCTCCGCGACACGCACGCATTCACGACTTCGGCCACGGCTCCGGAACCGGCTCCGAGCCTGGCTCAACGGCGATCCTTTCGGACGCGGCACACTGTGATCCCACGTGGACGACCGTGGTGACGAGCAGGGGGATCGAGGGCTCGCTCGATCATAGATCGACCACTACGGATCGGCCGGTTCTTCGAAAGACCGCCGACACACCGAGACCTCGCCTGCTCGCGATTCTGATTACGACTTACGCGAGAACGACCACGATCACCAGCGCGATGATGACCGTGATGATTACCACGACGATGACCACGATCATGATGATTATGATGATTATGATGATAACGATGATGATGATGATGATAACGACGATGATGATGATGATGATGACGATGATGATGATGTTGATGACGACGACAACGATGATGACCCGAACGATGGTTATTAGAAGCGAGACGACGACGACGACTAGGTTTACAAGTTTTTTATACGTTACTTTTTGCAAGAAAACGGTGGCGAAATAAAGCTTTTTTTATGTATTTTTACATAAAATCGACAGACGCTTTCTTTTTATTTATCCCCCAGATCCTGGGCGGGGCGGGGCTGATTTTATGTATTGAATTTGCGACAGAGCCGAGTAGGTTCTTCCGAAGAATTTTAGGATAACTGTGGGGTAGTTTTGGCATCTGTTCCTCGGTGAGGATTATTCTGCATACGGGTCTAGTGTTAATAGCTTCTGATGAACAATTAGGGTTACTACGACTGGAAAACAGTTGTGGATGATAGATTACTGTTAGATGAATTCGATTGAAATGGGTATTCTCACATTTATATCCTAGGACGAGGAAGAAGGTGATGATGGTGGGTCAATTCTAACCCAAAGGAATCGCCTAGCTGCTTAGGTCTTGGAGATTGTGTCCATCTGGTTGCAATCTGATGAAAAGATGGAGGCTATTATTGATATTAGTTAGATAGAATATTTTAGGAAATTAATGAAATTAATGAAATTAAAGATTGACGAATATAGAAAAATAGAGAATGACCATGGAATGGTAGAAGTGATTTTATAATGAAAGTGGTACAAGTAATTACATAATGAAATAGTAGAAGTGGTTTTATAATGGAACTGTAGAAGTGGTTTTATAATAGAACAGTAGAAGTAGTTTTATAATGGAACAGTACAAGTGGTTTTATAATGGAACAGTACAAGTAATTACATAATGAAATAGTAGAAGTGGTTTTATAATGGAACAGTAGAAGTAATTCTATATTGGCATAATATAAGTCATTTTATAGTTGATGTGATTTTATAAAGGAACAAAATAAGTTATTACATAATGAAATAGTAGAAGTGGTTTTGTAATGGAACAGTACAAGTAATTGTATAATTAAATAATAGAAGTGGTTTTATAATGGAACAGTAGAAGTGATTTTATAATGGAACAGTAGTAGTGTTTTTATAATGAAACAGTAGAAGTGGTTTAGTTAAGTTATTCTGAAGTGTTTGAAACAATATGGTGTAACAATAAGCTGTAACAAGGGAGAAAAAGTAACATCAATTCTGTTTCAAGAAATGCATCTATTGACAATATAAAAATAAAAATAATTTAGCCTATGCGTTGTAAATGAATTTGTCAATGAATTTGACAATATTTTATAAAACTTATTGCAAACAATTTCACCATGAGATCATTGATAGTACCACTAACTTCTTTAAACTCACATTTCTACTCACCACAACAATATTTACATAAACTTATCAGATATAATTACCAGACACAACAATTTCGCAGACATTCTGTTAGAAATGAAATATTCAAAGTTTCAATCATTTATCAAGACTCGCTCTTTCATAATCACTTTGGGGGGGACTCTGACAAATTAATAGTCGATAGCTATCCATTCAAGTCGGTCTCAGAACTGGTCTTCGCATTAATAACGATTCTATCGCTAACGACAGTCTCCAAGAAGCAGTTATTTTCTCGTCGTCAAGACCAATTATTTTCTCTCGTGTTTCGTCCGACAATGAACAGGTAGACGTTATATCGTTAAGTATACATCAATCAGCTTCCGATTTCTACTCTTTGCGCATCTTCTCGCGTGTTTCGCCGGGAGAAAGTTTGACTTGCGATGTGCGACTCCGTTCGATGATACTTCCTGATAGAAACGACGCTTCTTAAATAATTATTTTCTCCGGTTTAATGCAAAACTACGATTTTTCTTCTCCTCGATATCTCTTCCTTTTTAATTGGTCAACGATAATTTTCTTGTACTACAATGTTCTCTTATTTTGTAGAAAATTGCAATAATTTCGCTTGTACAAAACTCTAAACAGAGATCTTCCAAAACATTAGCTTTATGCAACAGTTGCGTTCCCTATTATATCGTTTCTACAGTGTTCAGAATTTCCTTGTGCATCGATGTTCCGTCAATTGGCAGAAAATTGTAATCCGTTCGTCAATTTAAAATCATAAACATATCTTTTTCAGAGCATTAGCTCGGTCGTCCAATTAACTAAATTTTACATTCACCGCGTTATTGTTTCTACAGTTTTCAGAATTTCTCCATGCAATAATATTCCATCACTTAGCAGAAAATTGTAATCCGTTCGCCAATTTAGAATCTTAAACATATCTTTTTCGGAGCATTAGCTCGGTCGTTCAATTAACTAAATTTTACATTCACCACGTTATTGTTTCTACAGTTTTCATAATTTCTCCATGCAATAATATTCCATCACCTAGCAGAAAATTGTAATCCGTTCGCCAATTTAGAATCTTAAACATATCTTTTCCGGAGCATTAGCTCGATCGTTCAATTAACTAAATTTTACATTCACCGCGTTATTGTTTCTACAGTTCTCATAATTTCTCCATGCAATAATATTCCATCACCTAGCAGAAAATTGTAATCCGTTCGCCAATTTAGAATCTTAAACATATCTTTTTCGGAGCATTAGCTCGGTCGTTCAATTAACTTTTTACACTCGCCGCGATATTGTAATCGTTCGTTAAATTGCAATCGTTCGCCAATTTCGAATCCTAAATACATCTTTTCCGGAACATTAGTTCGACCGTTCGATCAACTAAATTTTACATTCACCACGATATTGTTTCTACGATGTTCAGAATTGCCTTATGCAACAATGTTCCTTCACTTCGCGTAAAGTACCAATGCGTCTCGTCGATAAGAAATTCTAGACTGATTATTTCCGAAACATTAACTCCGTGGACGGTGAAAATGCAATTTCTCCGGGGGGACGCGCGCATTGTTGCAAAACGAGAGACGTGAAGCCTAGCGAGCAATTAGCATGTCCATCAGATACGACCGCATCTTGTTGCAATATTTTAATGAGTCCGCCACCGTTACACGTGTTTCGCGAATAGAAAGGAAAATCGAGGCGCGGAGTTCAGTTTATAGTATCGTTAAATTCCGCTCGCGGTGAGATAGACCGGGGTAAAACGTCGTATTGTGCAATCCTGCGGCTAAGGAAACGGCGGTGTGTCCCGGCGCGATGGGATCCTGTGGGAATCCCCATATAGCTTGGTCCATCGTCCGCGTGAACCTGTCACCGTTGCGTTACACGCGCCGCGCGTAGATACCAATCAGCCGCATTCAATGTTTCTTTATTACCGCTATAACGCAGCCGCGTTCGCTGTACTCGCGGATGGGAGACGCCGGTGCTGTGGAAATCGCTTTAATTTCACGCGTTTCCGTAGCGAATCCTCCGATTCTCCTGTAACAACGTAAGAATTAAATGGTTTTCTTTTCATTCTTTTACACAGAACTAAAAGTTACATTGTTCTAGAAATTTCGGGGACGTGAAGAGTAACATTTAGACCGCGCGAAAAATAATTTCAGTCGAATTTTTGTTACCTCTCATTAAATAATGATCCAGTCTTGTACTCGTCTTCAACGACATGGTCGGAGGACAGCGCAGCATCTGTGACAGTCACCAGAAAGCAACGAATCAAAAATTTTAGACTTAGATAATTTAATGTTAATTGACTTAGATGATTTAAGCTGGGTCGGACCTATTTTAAATAAACAACGTGACAAACTAAATAAATTCTATCGTTTGTAAAAGCAAATTTTGTTTTTTTTTGGTATACAATTTCAGCTCGAAAGCGTTGTTTAAAAGTATTGTAATTGATAAACAATATATTATTTTAGGTTCAATCCCCGGAGAAAGTTGTAACGAAAAAAAGTGGGCTTTGTTCCAAGTCGATTAGTCGGTTAATTTCACAGTTACAGTAAAGTCTCCCTAATCGGCGCTCTGCTTGTGCACAAAAGTGGACAATTTGGGGAATATATAATTTATAGTCGTTGACAATCGCTAACTATAAAAACGAGCCGCAAGCCTCGAATCCTGTTTCCAAATTTTCCATTTTTGTGTAAAATCTGAGCATCGATTAGGAAGAATTTACTATATACCGCGTGCCAATTTAAAAAACAGAATATCGAGAAAAACGCGTTTAAAATTTTCAGTAGCATTTTTCAAAGTTTCCAGTTTAAAATTCGCTGTAAAAATTGAGTCCAATGTTCCAGGACCGTACAGTCAAAAATTACGACTAAAAAATTTACGGAGCACGTTTAATAACCTTGACACGTACTACTGATTTATGGAAAATCAATTTATGAATAATTTTAAACATCTCTAAGAGCATATCGATGATATTAAATAACATAAAGCCAGCTCGCAGTTTTACGAATTATCACCGGGCATACTTTCTCCTCCATAAACAATATGGGACGTATTAATTACGATCCTCTCTGATCGTCCATTTTGCCGGACGAAGAACGACGAGCCCAACTGCGTCGCCGGCAACTTTCTTGTCGGACGGTAGCGGCAACGGTACTTCGGGACGAAAGCTAAGTCAATAAACATTCGTTGGAAACGATCGTTAGCCTTAATGGTCTTCGTTGAGCTCACGTGACAATTTGTCTTATAATAACTCATCGATCTATTATAATAAAATCACGGTCGTCGAAGACAGAGGCGATTATCTCGCGTGTTACCACTTCGCGACTGCTGCAAAGGCGGGAAGGGTGACAGTGATTACTAGACTGCGGATGTTTATGCAAAATAAAAATTGTCTGCATCGATTGCAAGATGTAAGAGCCGTGCACAAGTTGTTTTCTTTCTTCGATAATTTCAAAAGGTCCAAATTAATACATCAAGATTCTTAGTTACTTTGAATCTTCTCACTGATTGAAATTAATACTATTAATACTAATATTGAAATTAAATTCTGACATAAATCCATAAACATCCGCGGTCTAGTGATAATTATAGTGCGATTGACTTTTACACAACCAGCCGAAAAGGAGAAGGAAACGGAAGCAATTAAACAGAAGCAAAAAAGAGCGGACCGACGTGAACCAAAATGGCGGCCGGTGGGACGCGGAGACGTGAGTGATAACCGCGGAAAAGATCGATCGTCCGTGTAAGAGGAAGGCGTCGATTTCCGCGTCGTCTTCGGGAAAGGCGTCGTGACGCAAGCCCGAGGAACTTTCACTATTCTTAAACAGCCACTATTCAAGATGAGGACGACTGTCAAATGATCTCTCTTTCTCTCTCGCTTTCTCGCCTTCTTCGCCTTCTGTCGCCAAGCCACCTCTCTTCAAGAACGTCCCCGAGGTCGAGAGCTTCTTCAGCCTTCAGGATTTACTTTCATGAAAACAAGAGTCACCAATTACTCTTGCTAGCAAACCAGCTGGCGTTCCGCGTACCGTTTAGCCATGTTTACGAATCGGAAAAACGAACGCTGATTTCCCCTGAAGAGGTTCCATCCGGTGTCGGAGTTCGTTGTGCTGTTTTAAAATTAACAGGATCGAGATTCGCCGAGAGACGTCCTAAGAAAATGGTAACTGTGGACATCGTATCTGAAACAAACACGTCAAATTCAGAAAAAGAGTATTTGAATGAAGTAGTGGGAAGATGTTTTCTCGTACAATTTAGTCCTAAATGTTGATCCTTGAGAATTTAGTGAACAGCGATCACATATCGGACGACGCGGAGCCATTTGGCCACTTGTTCGCTAATTGTCAAAGGCTCGTTGACGATTTTCAATCGGATGGGAAACATTCTTAGCAAAATGATGGACACCGCATCTGAAATAAAGACATCGTTTCAACAAAAATGATTCCCCATAAAATAGACTACGGATTTTTTGGATTTATATTAAAAATGGGTCGATGAAATTTATATAATATTTATATTATGTTTATATTATATATTATAATATATATAATATATTATATATTATATATACATTATAATATTATTTATATTATATATACATTATAATATTATTTATATTATATTATATTATATTATGATATTTATATAATATTCAACGAATTTGAGGACGCCTATGTATTATTTCCAGCTCGTTGGAATTATTAAAGAAAAAGAGAAATTTTCGTTTCACCGATCTTCGTTGTAATTGACGAAGATAAGTTTCATTTCGCATGAAGATTCGTTCTTAAACTTAGATAATTTAATCTGAGATCGGACCTATTTAAAAAAAATAATTTGGCAAACTAAACAAATTCCAGCGCGTTTGCGAAAACAAATTTTGTTTTTTGGTATACAATTACAGCTCAAAAGCGTTGTTCAAAAGTATTGTAATTGGAAAACAAGAGGTTCAATCCCCGGAGAAAGTTGTAACGAAAAAAAGTGGGCTTTGTTCCAAGTCGATTAGTCAATTAGTTTCAGAGTTACAGTAAATTCTTTCTAATTAACGCTCAGATTGTGCACAAAAATGGACAATATTGGAAAAGAAGATACGATTATTCGAGAAAAATTGCAAGAAAAATGACAAGAAAAGAAACGATTTTAATACGCCTGCTTGTAATGGATCTAACTTTGACCACTTCGTTATTGACATTCAAAATAACAATAATTGATCTTGATTTTTTATTTAACGCTTTTATGTCAATAACGACGCAACAAACATTAGCGAGACCGTTAAGAGTGATTACGTGAGTTTCAATAGGCATAATAATGATTAGAAATTACTAGAAAGCGATCGTCTACTAGTTTACTGTTTACTTACTAATAGTTTCACGACTTGCTAATCCTATACGATTGAACAAAAATCGAGCATTTGAAGAGTCATTCGCAGAAAATGATAGCACGTAATCATTGGAGATTCACTAAAGAACAATATCTTAGGGGAAGAATGCTTTTGAAGGATAATGTTAACCCCTTGCCGTACCATTATCTACGCAGTTGCAATGATTAGAATTTTTGTTATTGCAATAATTTCTTAAAAGTAGACGACAATATATCGTGTCCAAACATTTACTCGAATGATTGAATACGGACGATGAGAAAACGGAATTTGATTCCGACTTGAAAGAACGGAGCAACATTTATACTTGTCAGGTTATTGCTACAAGTCTTTATCGCGAGACGTACTCGTCAAAGTACGGCAAGGGGTTAATCGCAGCGGCGAACCAGCTGACGGGAGGACCTGACGAAAGCGTAATACGCGTTGTTAAATAGCCGTAACGTCTTCCTGGACAGGTGGGCAGAAAAAGAGGCCGATGAGTCAAGGGTAAACCGTCGGCGAAGGTTCACCGACCCCGTCGCCGGCTGGAAAGCAAAATGCCGGAGGTGGGGGCCGCGGTGGTGACCGAAATTCGTTCCGATTTTTCGAAGGAGGTCGTCGAATGACCTTTCGAGCGTCGCATCATACCCTTAATCCTACGGCGGTCGTTGCAGGAAGCCGAAAAATCGCTCCGCGTGAAAGTTGCCTCCTGGCAGACGTTCTCTTCGCTTCTCTGCCTTTCATTCTCTCTCTTTCTCTCTCTCTCTCTCTTTCTCTCACTCTCTCACGTCTCTCCCTCTCGTTCCCTCCCGGCTGTTAGTTTTCCAGGGTTTCTCAGGTAAGATTTCTTACGAGAGCATCTTCTCAGCTGCGTAAGAACGTGAGAGAGAGCTCGCTTTCGTTTCCTCCTTCTTCCTTTCCCGACGCTAACTCATTCCGCTTTCCCCACAATTCATGCTCGCCGAACGAATCATCCTTGGCCTCTTCCCTTTTCTCTCTCTCTCTCTCTCTCTCGCTCTCCTCCTCCTCCTCCTTCTCGTCCATTGATCCTATCGGCGATTTCGTTTTCTTTGTTCCTGCGGGTCCCTTCCACCCGATGCGTTGAAGGCTCGCGATCGAACGCCATTTTCGGTACCCACGACTTTCTGATACCCTTTGGAACAGGATTAGCGGCTTCGTGAAACTGGTAGAAAGAGCAATCTGTCAGTTGGACGTGGCATAACTGATCCGCATATGATACATGAATCGAAACTCTATCTTACCTGTCAAATTTCTCTATTTTATTGCGAACGTGTACAATTTTCTAACATCGCCTTTGCTCGTTCAAGTTGAAATGGTCCCAAAGGTCTCCAATATTCTGGAACACACATTTTATAGAATAATATATAATAAATAATAATATATAATATATAATAAATAAACTATAATAATAGAATATAATAATATAATATCTAGCTCTATTTCGGTAAGAATATATTTTCTAAAGTGGCAGCCATTAATCGAAATTATAAAAGGGTCCTAAAAATCTGAACAAGTACTGGAATACGAATTTTGTCGAATATGGTTCGTTCCGCAGGGGTATTGCAAGAGTTCTCCTGGATAGTTTCGTCCCGAATAGTATGGAAATGGCGTCGGTTGCTAGTCGGACGTGAGCAATGCGTGACCCAGCCAGTCTCGACGCGAGAATGAATGCAACAGATGAGGTCGCGGAATGTGCAGGTCCCGGTGGCAGCAATCACAGCGGTCTAGAATTTTCCTCGATGTCCTCGTTCCGACGATTTTGCGAAATTTCGCGCGTGGTAGGGGGCGAGACGTACCGGAGGAACCGCGGACGATCTAATCCGTGGGTTCCCCTTTTCAGCAAACCGTGAATTTCAAGTCGGCAGGCACCATTTATAATCTTATAAGTGACCAGACCGTGTCACCTCGCTGGAAATTACTGATCTCGTCGATTGCGTAACTGCCGGCCATTTTAATATTGAAGATATAGCTCTAGCTCCGATATTATCTGAAATATAATATCAGTTTTAAAAAAAACAGTACTTATAGTCAAAACGTGATATAAAATTTTACCTTGTTAAAAATGATTGAATTCGTCGGCCATTTTGGTACCAAAAACAAGCTTTTTTTATCTTCAATATTATTTTAAACATAATAATATTAATTCTAAAAGCATTGCTTACATTCAAAAAGTGAAATCAAATCTTACTTTATTAAACAAAAAATTATTGATTTTGTCGATTACATATCTTTTAGTCATTTTAGTATTAAAAACACGCGTTTTCGTCTACGATATTATTTTAAACTTAATAATATTAATTTCAAAAAGAGTACTTAATTTTGCAACTGATATATACATAAAGAAATTT